GAGAGAGAGAGAGAGAGAGAGAGAGAGAGAGAGAGAGGGAGAGAGAGAGAGAGAAGAGACCAGACCCGTATCGAGTTACTCTATTTCGCGATACGACGAATTAATTGGACACACAATACAACCCGAATTACTCGGATCCCCAATGATCCGCATGGCGTGTGCGTGGCGTGTTACATATATGCGCGTGTGTTCCGATTGTTCGGATAAACATAGCGGCCGACGCCACTCGAACGTTAGCCGTTGGGGCCAACGCTGCGGTGACGTCCACACGTTGGCAGTACTTGGAGCATCCGCATACTTGCGCGTCCACCCGCCGGGGCATTCGGACTTCCTCGCAGCCTCGCTTTTGTGAACGCCGGCGCGGGCACACGCGCGGTCGAATATACGCAAAACACACACCAAAGACGACGGAACGAGCGACGCGCCTGAACAATCTCGGTGGCGCGACAAGGAGAAGACGGAGACACGACAGAGACATAGACAAAGTAGATGACACACCGTGGGCGGCGTACAAACGCCGTAGATATCGCTAGACTCGCGCTCGCCTGTTTCTTTACTCGTGGACCTTAACTCCTAGACCGCGATCCAATCCACTGCAGGCGGTGGCCGCGGATCGGCGATGTGCCACCGCGATCCCAATCCCGATCGGACCCTCGCCAGGGAGAAGACACCGGACCCCGTTGTGAAGAGCGAGCCGGCGCGCGGCCCGCGTGATCGAGCATTCTCTCGTCACGCTCATCCTACCGGTCGTTCAGGACCTCGGCGCAGGTCAGCAGGGCCAGCAGCTGCAGCACGAGGTAGGGACGCATGGTGGAGTGTCCCGTGGACGACAGCGCGTAAGCGTAGGAAGAATAGCACTCCCTGCGGGTGTAACACACAGAATGGCCCATTTTAGTCGTTCTTCCGTCGTGGTATGTCCCAGCTCAAATTTCAGTTCTGTTTTCAACTACCAAGGTAGGTTCCTAACACCCGTAGATTTCGAAGGATCAGTTTAACATAAGTGGAAACTAAAGTCTTACTTAGCATCTCTAAACGGCAGAAAGTGCGCAAAATGTCACTTGTAGGTTCTAAAGAGGACCTCTCGGCAAAGCTAGTATGTTGAATGGAATCAAAAGAAGTTGGTATAGGTTCTAAAGTATCAGGATAGGCGTTGAATGAGATATTCAGGACAATAGGATCAAAATTTCGACTCGTGTATTTAAGGGCAGCGTATAAAGCAATTCGAAGGAAACCTTGCGGATGTAACATATATAATGGCTCATTTTAATTGATCTTCCGTAATATGTCCCAGTCCAAATCTTAGCTTTATTTTCGACTACTAAGGTTCCTAGCGTCTGTAGATTCTGAATGATCAGTGTGTGTTTAATACACGTGGAACTTGAAGTCCTACTTAGCAATTTTGACTCGGTTAATCAAGAGCAAGATATCGAATGAAGCCATTTATACAGTACTGACATTAATCGTTGCATTACCCAATAAACTTGAGGCTGCTCATAGAAGCGCTTTCAGACAGTACGACTGCTCCAAATGATTCTCTCTATTCAGGTTTTAATTCACTTGGCGTTGGTCTGACTCTTTCGAAACTCCGGGCGACGTACGCTGAACGTGTATAATTAAATCAAACTGAGTACAATTAAGTCGAGGATCGCGACGAAAGGATACTTCAGACTCTGGGTGAGATAACATCGCCGACGACTTTAGCGTATTCGCAAGTGTACGCGCGTGGAGTAGGTAGGTAGATAGGTAGCTAGGTAGATAGGTAGGTAGGTAGGTACGTACGTTACAGTCGGTGGGATTCGAGTTTCGGTTCGCCGCCGAAATCGGAAGCTTCGCGCTCTCGCGAGCTGCGGACAAGTTTCGCGAACAAACCGACAAGCGACATCCTGCGGATGCCAGCCATTCGATATATACGTTCTTGTTCTCTCTCTCTCTCTCTCTCTTTCTCTCTCTTTCTTTCGTGTCAAATCGTGGATAAATAAAAGAGTGAGTCGTGACGCGACAGAAAGAAAAGAAACACACATTTCTTATTCCATTAATATATCTTTCCGTCGCCGTTTTGCCCGCGATGCATAATGCATATTTTTCGCTTCGAGCGACCGTCAGAGCACGAGGAAAATGGGCAGCGGAAGAGGGGTGGAGAGAGAGGAAGAGAGAGCGAAAGAGAGAAGATTTGTCGCACAGAGAGTCCCTCGAAAATGGGCGCCACGTACGTTCCCATTATATTTGCGAGCGTTTTTGGCCGGCGGGGTGTTATTACATCGTTTGTGCAGCGTGAAAGAAATTACTTTGCAATTTTACGTAGCATTACGGCGCTCCAAAATTGTCCGACTGAAAATTCTCTTCGAAAATCTTTGGATTCTTCGATGGTTCTTCTCCAAGACTTTGCAAGATTACGCGACGCTTTCAGACTGCACCAGGGCTTTCACGCTACTTAATTTACGAAGACCATCCCGCTGCTTTTGGAATATTGAAAAGTGCAGGCAATCCCTCTCTGTCGGTCCCGCCATTCGTCTGTCTACGTACCGACGTTTGCCCGACGCCTCACGCGTATTACCGATTCCACTATCGCGTACACAAGATGTCCGGGACGCGCCTCTTTCCGGATTTAGCCTTTGTCCCGGTTATTTCAGCGGAGACCACTACCGTTGATTTCAACGTGCCAGATATTCGATGCATATTTCGGGAGACAGATGGCTGTATCGATTAACACAGTAAACGCGACGCATATAACCTGGAAAGTCCACACAATTCAGCGTAATGTGTAGTCGCGAGTGGTCTTGCGGATCCTTCTCCGCAAATTGCACCGCAACCGACTGAAATTACGTCGCTGCGTCGCATCCACACTGATAATCCTCGTTTAGACTCGCAAGTCTCCCGGGATATATGTGTTTTCTTCGACTGTATCACCCCGAGTCGAAATTTCGATTCTACTTTCGACCTCAATGTTACATTTAACGCGTATTTCGACACTCCGCAGCCCATATCAATCCCTTCTAATACCATCTAGCCTACCAGCTTTGCCGGCAAGTCCTCTTTAAAATCTACAAGTAGAATTTTGTGCGTTTTCTGCCAATTAAAGGCATTAAGTAGGATCCCATTTTCCGCGTATATTACGCACACACTGATCCTTCAGTTCAGATTCAGGGTAGGGATAAAATTTCGACGCAAACTCCGAATACAAGCCAATTGTATGATTCCTTTGATTTTGAAATTGCACAATCCGAGCATTGTCAACCGTGACTTTGGCGTCATTCTGGAATGCCGGGATCGTACGGGCTCTCCGCGGCAAAACTCACTTGAGCCGTCGCAACCGGCGGTGGTCGTCGAAATTTTCCAAATTTCCCGCGTCGCTGCTGTCCGCTCGTAATCGTATTACATTGGATGAGGCACGGTGCACGCGAACGCGACGCTCTTTGCCGGAGCACTCCGATTTCAAGCGGTATCCGCTTCACGTATACGCAACCAATTAACGACGAACATCGAGGGTTTACCGCACTCTCCACGGATTCCAAGTTTCCCAACATGTGACTCGCTAGCTAGCTTGGACGTTGGTACAGAGAGAAAGAGAGCACACACACACACACACACATACACAAGAGAGAGAGAGAGAGAGGGAGAGTAGGAAAGAGCGGGAAGATCAGAAAGATGTATCCTACTTTATATAAACTTAGTTTAATTCAGTTTGATCGCTTCTCGTTCTCCCGTAAACTTTTATTTATCTCAAACTACGAAATATAATTGATAAAAGTAACTTTTTTCATCAAGGAAATACGGCAAGAGAGCGAGAGCGAGAGAGAGAGAGAGAGAGAGAGAGAGAGAGAGAGAGAGAGCATCCGCGCGATCGATAGCTGTCAATTTCACGTCGAAGAAAACCACGATGGATTCTTGTTAACTTAAATTCCATCAACTTTCATTAATGGAATTAGTTTTGCCGACATTAATACACAGAATATACGGCGACTGTTATTGTACAAACTCCACAAACGTTCCGCATCATGATTAGAAATTAGAAATTTATCACATGGTTCTGACCAGGTTGATCCCAATCGGTTATCGGATTTGTATAAGGTGATGTTATTCTGATAAATTACATATCGCAATGTGGCGATCAGGATCTTATCAATAATAACGATTATTGATCCTCCGAGAATGTATTTTTGGTACCTTTGGGGCAATGACACGAGTTATTTATGTTTCGGGAACTATAGCTGCCAGCGATTAAAGGATACAAAAAGTTTAACATAGACATATGAAATATTTGTTTTCTAATTTATTGAATGTCTGATCGATTTTTCTATGCTAAGCTCAAATCTGTTGGCTAAATTAGCCATTCTCCGTTTTGGACTTATTCCAATCTAGAAATAATATTCTTCTAGGCACCTTTACGTCAAAATATCTCAGAAACCTGACGTGATAAAGCAATTTGGGCAACGGATTTGATTTTAGGATGCTTTCAGAATCACTTATATAACTCTATTATAACTCTGGTAATTAGAGGAAAAGTCAAAATTTGTCGGCCTGTGTAATTAGGATCAGACAACACTAGCTTATACAAACCAGATAATCGTTTGAGATCTACCTGATTAAGAGCATGGGGTAAATTTCGAGTCGGCGTGCCCCCTTCGTCTGATTCTGAGCAATTGACGTATGTAACTCGCACGTGTGCGCGAGATGCAATCGCGTCTACGGCCGCGAATCATCGGTATGCCGGCTGGTCGTTTTACGACCAAGTTGTATCAAAATACCGATAGCAATTCGCCGCGATCAATAGCGAAATTACACCCCGAAACGAATTCCACCTCAAAGCCCTCTCTCCCTCCCTCTCTCTCTCTCTCTCTCTCTCTCTCTTTCTCTCTCGACACGAAACGAACGAACCGTTGGTTGCGCATATTGTCGTGTAGCATACCTGTAAGACTCGGGATTGAGCCTCGTCACGGTGCAGTAATGATGCAGCGCACAGACGCCGTTGAGGGGGCCGCCGCAGCCCCAGATTTGCTCCACCTCGCGCGGCAGCGAGACCGTGTTGGCTGCATAATACCTGCGGGACAGAGAGAGCACCACACGTATACAGCGTGCGCGGCTTGCGCGTCGGGAAAGATAACACCAGCGGAGATCTAGACCCGAGCTCTTTCTCTCTCGGTGCATTTAGAAGAGCCGGTCTGGCGACGCGGCGTATCGGGGGACTGTCATTAGCGTCGTAATGGCGCGCACGCGTCTCGCGAAAAGGCTGGCTGGCCGGACAGTTATCACGAATCGTGGGCCGAGCATTATCGGATAATTGTCGGCTCGCTCGGAGAGGGAAAGGGAAAGAGGGAAAGAGAGGAACGGGGGAATATTATTATTATTAGCCCTCGGCTTGCGTTTATTGAGGTGTCTCACGCGATACGCGAACGCTGAGCGGCGTCGACACTCGCGCGTTGACATTGAACAGGGCGAACTTTCCGTTCGCCAGCTGGTATTACGTGTAACAGAGAGGCCCTACCGGGACTGGCCTCGATCAGATGATCGCGGAGCAAACACACGTGGCTGATTCCTCTTACGTAGATCGCGATCGGCCGCGATACCGGCGCGAATTACGGTGTATTTAGGCGAGCGTTATTTGTTCTACGTCCTCGGGTCGGGATGGGATCGTGGCCGATTACGGCCCGGGGAAAAATGTGCTGGCGACACGGACGCGTGTCGTGGTTCGAGCCGCAGTCGAGGTCGATAATTAACGTTCGCTTGCATGCTGGCGAGACACGGTATTGCCAGTTTCCCAGGGGTTGCATTTACGCGACTCGGACTCGCGACAGTGCAGGCGCCGCGATCGACGGCTCGATCGATCGATCGATCGATCCGTCCGCTCGCATCATACGTACCTGACGAATGCGTAATCGTTCGATTGCGTAAATCGATCCGCCAGATCGTGAAGAGTGATCGCCGAGATCTCCTGCAGCTCATAATAGTCAAGCAGCGAGTACTCGATCACCCAGTTCGCTTTGCCGATTGAATTTGCTTCAGGCAGATTAAGATAGTACTGCGTGTAATCCAGAATCTGCGCAACGTGCACAACACACATTATACACACGCGTGCACGAGTACGTGTACGCGCGCTCGCGCACACAGAAAGACAGACAGGCAGACAGACGCCCGCATACATGTGCGCGCGCGCATATATAACACGCCACCCGCGTCGAATACACCTATACGCCTATCCGTGCATTTGGGCGCGTCCCTTTGAAATCGGCACGTCGCGCAAATAGACCATCACCGAGAACGCCGAGATATTATGGGCGAGTATGTGCGGACGCCGTGCGGCGCACTACGTACGTACCTGTCCAGTGTTGGTCTCGAACTTGTACAGTCGCAAACCCGGGTTGTTGGGCCCGCCGACGGAGCTGGGCGTTACACTGGGTGCCATCATTATCCAAGATACGGGCAGACCTGTTCAGCAAGTAGTATCGTTTCACGGTAATAATTAATCACGCGCGGCAGCGCTAATAAGATTAAGCGCGAAGAGCGACAGATGACAAAGCGCCGGCGATGCGCGAGATGGCCAGGTGAGACGTTGGGAGGGCGTGGGTGAAGAGTGAGCGATAAGAACAGGACGCGGGGAGCTCGTCGTCGTCGGGAGGACGAGAGAAACCGAAGGAAGCGCGACGTGACGCTCCGTCCTCGCTCTTTCCACCTGCGAGACGGTTGATGGAGCAACCGCCGGGCCAGTTTCATTCGTAAGACAATGTCGCGCGGGGAGGTCGGGTTCATCAGCCCGGCCCGGGGCTGACGTGTGTCCGAGAAGGAGATACCGCGATAGGTGGGCGGATAATTTGTTATCCCGTCCGAAAATTGTCATATCGAGGAAATTGCCATCAGCGACGGTGACGTTAGGTTCGCGGGAAAGGTCTGTCACGTTTCGTTGGGCAAAATTGAAAATAAAATTACACCTGCCAAGTGATATTTGTTCATCGGGACGATATATTCCCGTCGGCTCGGCGCGCAAGGTCAATGTTACTCACGACTGACTACGACTGACGAGAGAGAGTAAACACGTTTAAATAAAGATTCGTCCGAAGTGCATTGTTTGCATTCGGGACAGCGATTGCAAATTCGTCCGACACGGACGAGTACAGATTTGATTTGGAAGATATAAATGTGCATTCTCTTTAGAGAATCTGTCTCTTGGCTTTACCGATAAAGGAAGTTCGTTGTTCGAAGTCAAACCTTAAGCGAAATTTCGGGACATAAACAACACGGTGGGGTCACGTGTGGTCCCAACATTTTTTAAGTTTACTTCTTTTTCTTTTGCATATTAAAATTTGTATTGGGATATATAAACGGTGATACAAGAAGAAAACACTTTTTCTATGTTATGAAAATATTTTCTCAGTCCAGTACCCGTATAGAAAATACTTTGGAATATAATTGGGATCCAGTCTAATTTCCCACAATAATGGGTTCTAGGTAAGAAATTTATGCAGGTTCTGATTAGAAGCGTAATGTTTTAAACATGCAAATCTAAATGAGAAATGCAGACAGATCCCATTTGGGATCATCCCCAACGTTATCCTAAAGATTTTTCTTGGTTTTACATTTTAAATTAAAATTGAACAGAATATATAAAACACAATGTGTGTTTACTCGTTATAAGTATATACATATACACATATATACTTATACACATATATACTTGTAAAGAATAAATACTCAAACACTCATTTTGCGAAAAAAATCATGATAAAAAAATTGTAATAAAAGCTGTTTGAGCTAAAAAAGTCAAAGTGTACATGGATATCCGACAAATTCTTCTGACTTACAAATAAAATCGTCAAATTATTCTCAGATGTATCCAAATATATTTCATACATATAAAACGAGAACGTATTATTTTACGTTTTAACATGGAACAATATTAGCCGGAGATAACACTTGTATTCTCTTTATTGTTTTAAACAAACCTAACGCAGAGAACACTTAAAAAAATTCGAGTTTCTTCAATATTTCCGTTCCGATTCTAGACAGAAAATTCATGTTTGAAACAAGAATAAGATTCCCTATTCGTATTATAGTCGGCCAATCAATTTTGGGCATTCTGATTGGAATCTGACTTGCATTTAGGAAAATACTAAAGAATTTTTATGCGGGTATCTGACTCTGATACATTCTGACAAAGTTTCAATGGATTGCGTTGAAAAGTGTATGCTGAATGGGACCATTCGGGAACTGACCCTGATCTGTCATTTAAGGATCAAATTTACCCGGCTGTTCTTTAATCGCTCACACAATCGTTCACTCGGAGCGTACCTGTGTCGCTGTAGACGACGCGAAACGTGTCCGAATGCCAATGTCCGAAGAACTGTCCCCGGATGATGTCCGAGTAGAGTCGCACCATCTGCAGATACCTCGTGTTGTGCCTCTCGTTGAGCGCCGCGGCGCCGCTTTCATGGTCGTCCACCCCTGGCGGTGTGTGGCCGACTATGTACACCTGGCCGTCATAGAGTAGAATAGGAATGAGCATCGAACATCGATATTTCGAAAACCTGCATGCCACTGCCGGCGCGGCTCGGCGCGGTGCGGCGTACGGTGTTCATCTATTTCACTTTGATATCGATTCATGAAAACTCAATGTTTCTTCCGATACTATTCGTGTTTCTCCTACCGCGCGTAGATTAACCTTTGGCCGTTCAAACGTCGCGGGGGTGCTGGCGCGATATTTTCGTGCCGTGGCAATCCGTATCGACATAAATACATTGTCACGGGGAAGAGTTGAAAAACAAAGCAATTCTTAGAGCAGCTTCAAACTCATCGGACGCCACAGAGTCGATTCGTTCCTCGAACGATATTAGACAGTTCTTTTTTTTCCCAAGAGTTAAGGGATGCTGGAGTCGATGACGATCTCGAACAATGTCGATAATGCAGAAACAATTGTCACTAACATAATCACGCTATTCTTTTCGTATTTCTTGTAGAACTTACATGAATGTGCTTTGTTTTATCATATTCAACGGAAAACCTAACCATATATGTGTAGAAATCTTTCTGCAAACTTTTTCGATATTTTTAAGCTTGCAAATGCATATGCGAAAATAAAGCAATGTTCTTAAAAATTTTTCTGTTTGGAGCATCCACATTTTCGATATGTACAAACTGTGGAACTTTTGGATTAGACAAATATTACGCTAACTGGCTTGAGATTTTACATTAAAAATTTTTTGTTCATTTTTATCACATATCGAGCAATGCTCCTGTTTATTTTTGCACGTACTTTCATTGTGTAAAAGCATTTGTAATTCTGTATAATCAATACACCGTAAATTTTGCAGAAAAATGTCATTATTGTGTCGGTAAAGTTTTCAGTTTCAGCATCCCCTTAATGCACACAGAAAGAGCATTGAGAGGTTATGATAAAAATAAGTCATAAAACAATAGCAAATGTGCAGTAAAAAACAAATGTAATATGTTCTCGATACATATGTAGATACATACATGTAGTTATACATTATTATACGAGATATTATCCGGAGTTATTACACGGGATGTGGAATAAATATGACGCGGCGCGTAGTAACACGTGTTTTCATTATTGTTAGCGATATTTCGGTCCCCACGTATTTCGATCATACGAATATCGATCACCAAAATGGCCCTAGTAGCATCCGTACTTTGCCGTAACTACGCCATCAGGAATCCCTTCGATCCGACATATGTATGTAAATTTCCCGACGCTTTTAGGTGTCGTCTCGCGTCCCAAATAGCGATGCATCCAAGAGAATGCATCGGAGGGACGTAGAAACACACGCGCTACCTTTTCTGTCGTAAGTTATTGGCACATAAAGACGGCCGAGATGTCGGTTGGGAGTACAGCCGATAGCGGTCCACACTTTTATGGTTGAAGAGTGCGGAGTGAGTTTGCACTGCTTTGATCGTAAAACCGAGCCGGTCCGATCGATATTCGTGTGCAGATTGGAATGAAGCGATCTGTCAGAGTCAGTCGCAGACCGCATTTCCAGTTCGTGACCATATCCTTACAGAGTTTCTGTATACAGTGAGGCAGGCGGGAAACTCGAGGAAGCGCGCGGTGTGTCATTTTAAAATATCATTCTCGAGTATTTCACGTATATTTTATTTTCCCAAATCGCGTCTCTCCTGCGCGCGTTTCACGTCATTAATTTGTATCGTAAGGGGATACGCGCAAAGTAAATTTTGCCTCACAAGTATTAGTCTCGTTAATATAATAATGGCAACAACAACAATAATAATAATAATGTTTACTTTATTGGAAACCATTGACGTTGCGAAATTGATGCCTGGCTATGCTCGGCAAGCCTCGATGAACTTTGTGATTATATACCAAAGGCAACCAAAAGCCAAAGCAACAGCTTTGCGGCTGGCGCTATTGCCTTACCTAACTATCCTAATCTTATAATATATAAAAATCTAAACTAACTAACTGCGGAACGGAAGAGAAGCAAAACTTCAGAATATAATCAAAAAACAAAAATATCACTTTGATGAGATATTGATATTTATATGGAAAAAATGCTGTTGTCATTAATAATCAATAGAAAGTCGTCGTAATTGGAGTAAATCTTGATTCAACAGTAATGCCATTGAAATTGATACTTCAATCATCGAGACAATATATAATATATTGGTTTCAAGTACTGTATTGCTGTTGAATCAAGATCTACTCTGATGTTAGCAATTTCTATTGATACAACAACATTTGTGGGACGATAAGATAATCTACCCACATAGAAAATACTTTAAAATCCAGTCCAATACTTTACAATAGTCATAAGTTCTAGATGGGAAATCTATGTAGAATTGTAATGTTTCTAAATGTAATGTTTTTATTGTAATGTTTCTATGTATTCTGGTTAGAATTGTAATGTTTTAAACATGCGAATCTAAGTTGGAAACTCAGACAGAGATACTATTTGATCAGCCCCCACGTTTTCCCAAAAATTTTTTCTGGTTTACATTTTAAACTAAAATCGATATATGAAACACTTGAGTATTTACTCGCAACAAATATATGTATATACATACACATACTTGTAAATAGTAAATATTCAAAATGTTTGCGAAAAAATTCATGAAGAAATTGTAATAGAAGGTGTTCGAGCTAAAAAATTAAAAAATACATATAAATATCCGACAAATTCTTTCGATTTACAAGTGTATGAAATCATCAAGTTATTCTCAGATGTATTCTATATTACATATAAAACGCAAATGTATTATTTTCCGTGTTAACATGAAGCAATGTAAGCCAAAAAAGAACAGTTGCATCGTGTTTATTGCACTAATGAAACAGATGCAGAAAACACACTGAAAAAGTTCGAGATATTTTTCCTGATATTTTTGTTCGGATTCGAGAACTCATGTCTGGGAATAGGATTTCCAATTGGTATCATAATGTGATAACCTATTTTGGAACAAAGTCGGGCATTCTAATTGGAATTGAACCTACACTTGGGAAAATATTAACTACTACTAGAAATTTCTATGCGGGTAATTTCTATGCGGTATAAACGGGATGGTTCCGCTGGCGGCGGGCGAAAAATCCACCGATGCCGGATTGTCGGCTTGCGCGGCCCGGCTTGACGCTCGTAACCAGAGCGAGCGGAGACATTCTCATTCAACAGCGACCCTTAGTTATATCGCGTGACTGCGCCCTGGCTAAACAGACGCTCCGGGGTGAATCACGTACGTAGGCTGCGCGATGTGTCTCTCGGGACGCAGGAAGTCTCGTTAGCGTCGGCAAACCGGCCGGACGCTCGGCCGCTCGCTCGCTCGCTCGCTCGCGAATGGCAGCTCGAATGGAACTCGAGTGTATACATGCACATGCAGGGACGCCACCGCTCGCGCCGCTCGATCACAGTGTGTGGGTGTGGGACGACGCGACGACGGAGGGCCGGGGGATACGGCGGACTAGGTATCTAATCGGACACGTACGCGAAATTAGTCCCGCCGTTTCGGGCGAGCGCGCGAATTCACCCGGAGAAGTCGACGCCGAATGTCGCGCCGAGAGGGGACGCTGATTGAAAAAGTACCTGAAGGTACCACTCGGTTACCGGGGTGATCCTCTCTGAAACAGGGAGCTCTTAATCCGAACTCGGGGTCCCGGGGGATGGGGGAGCGGGCACTTGTAAGCAAACGAGAATAATCGACTGATCTGCCCGCGCGGTTGATTTATGAGATCGATATTTCATGCTTACTGAGCGCGTAGCTGCACAGGCGCCGTCTATATGCGCCCAGCGAGAGATATTCGCGGCGAATCGACAAATGTGTAATATCATCGCTAAGTTGATATCGAGAGCCTTCGATACGGCGAATGCCGTGTACCGACCGATCGGCGGTTTCGCCGTTTGTCAATGCGGTGTGTTCTTTGCGGGCATGCGGCTCCTATCGAGCGCAGTTCTCCACTCTCATTGCCAAAATATGAGACCAGCGGATTATAAATCCGAGTCTAACGTGTACTGAATATCGCCAACGGAAAATGCTGTCGCGAACATCCGCGCTTTCGAAGAGAATGTCGGTAATTTCTCCAATAAATGCTAAAATGGTGCACTTTTATAGTCGTTCTCAAAGATAATTAATATTTAAAGTAGTTTATTATATATATTATGTATATTATGTATATTATGTTTATTAATATTTGAAGTAGTTATTATGTCACTTACACTCAACTTCCAAAACTTACTAAAAATGTAGCAATTATTGGAGAAAATATATGTTTTATAAATAACCTATTGTTATTTTTTCCATATGGCATCATACCCGAGTTCATAGCCCTGAACGGGCTAAACATAACAATAGTCCCGGAGGGCCATTTCGAGTAGGAAGACTGGTGGGTGGGGAATAAAACTCGTTAAGTGAATAACGAAAGGGAGATGTATACATATGTGTGTGTGTTTATTGGGGTGGGGTAGGGAGAGAGATTTAAAAGAAGAGGAGAGAAAGAGAAAGAGAGAAGGAAAAAAAGGATAGGATATGCAGGATGTTCTAGCTCGATTTCACAATGTCTCGTGAGAATGTAGAGCGAATTGGAGCGGATGAGATGAGTATAAAAGTCCTATATCGTCTTGCGATATTTACAATAACTACTGATATTATTAATTAAAGAATATTTGTAAATGATGGCGCTCGATATGGTAGATGAGCTGCAGTGACGGTGTTTGCCGACGTGTGTTTGTACATGGAAAAAAAGATCTGCTACATATGGACAACTGAACATAATTTTTTGTATTAGCCACTTTTTCTTTACTGCAAGAGCCAATTTCCTTGCTATGATAACAAGAAAATCTGCTCTTGTAACAAAAAAGTAACTAAAACAGTAAATTATGTTTAGTTGTCCATCTGTAACAAATTTGCTACTTGCTGTAGGAGCAGATTTTCTTGTTATCATAGCAAGAAAATAGATTCCTGCAGCAAAATAAAAGTAATTAACACAGCGAATTATATTTAACTGTCCGTATG